TCCCTCTCTCTCTCTCTCTCTCTCTCTCTCTCTCTCTCTCTCTCTCTCTCTCTCTCCCTCCCTCCCGCCCGCCCGCATGATTTATTTATTTTTCTTTGGTTTTCTTTCTGTTTCCGTTTTTGTATATTTGATTTTTGTTTTTTCTTTCTTTGTTCTTTTTCTTTTGTGTCATGCCGAATGAATCGGGTCCCGGCCATTCAGCAATGACCGGACCTTCCCTTGGCCGACCCCCTAAGTCTGCGGGGCGTTAACGGGAAGGCCCCTCGGCCGATGTATGGCCCAAGTTCGCAGCCAGGAATGGCTGCGTATACGGGTTTGCGTTTTGTCGTATAGCGGCTGCGTTTCCGTTTGGGGAATGTCGTCGACCTTTTCGGATGCAGCGAGACGACCACGTTGTCCAGCCGCATTCACAATGTTGTCAGGTGGAGAGTCGTGCAACATCGTGCAACTAGGCCTCAAAAACAGGTGTAAGTGGGTATACAGGGCGTCGCGGTCACCGACAGGAGACGGACCGGTCATTCCGTGAGCTAACATGGCGGAGGTCGCGGCGGAGGACGCGTGGTTGCTGGAGACCGACCTGTCGTAGCGTCGTGTCCGGTATAGGAAAGTCGGGAAAGGGTTATCTGGCCGTGCGTTAAATAGGGAGATCGACGGCCCGGATGTAATCCACACATCGATTCAGAATGTTGGGGTCGTTCATTGTTGCGAGGCCCCGGACACATGGGCCGAAAGATGGTCGCTTTTTTGTTTTGTTTTTGTATTGTGTGTATCTTACCTGTGAAGGCGGACAGGTGCGCAGCGCGTTTCAGGCTTTCTTGATCCGGGTCTGCGCTGCGCTGAGGGGCAGCCGGCTGCACCTGGCTGCCATTGTGTGTCTTCCTGCGGGTAGATCCGGCTGTATGGTGGAACTCGGAGTGGCAGTTCGCGGCCAGGAATGGCTGTGTTGTTGGCTGCGTCCTGTATCCGCCCTCAATCACAGCATAAGGGTCCTTTTTTTCCTTTTTTTTTTCCCCGTGTGATTGTCCCCTACACGCCCTCACTGAGGGCATAGTCACACTAGCACCTCATTGAATGTACCTGGCAGTTATCGTGGCGTTTGTTTTCACAGGTAGACAACAAAAGTGCAGCGAAGCTCTAGTGGGCTGGTCACCGGTCCGCCGCCGTCCTGGCTGCGCCCCCACGCCCGAGCGTGGTATCAGTACTGGTGGTATAACGACACCCTCTAAACCCACTTACACGGTGCACGACATTCCCCATAAGGAAACGGGCAGCTAAACGACAAAAGACATCCATGTATACGCAGCCATCCTGGCTGCGAATTTGGCCGCGTTTGTGGAAAAGTGCAGAAAATCGAGATAGAACTCCTTTTCTGCATCTCTGCCTAAAACACGGTAATAAATTTTGGTTTCTCCAAAAACAAAAAAAAAAACGTGCACCACTGGAACGCGGGGCGGGGGGCAACAATTACCTCGTTTGCGAGGCCCTATGCTTGCAGGGGCCCCCTCCATATAGTCTTAGGAGTAGTGGTAGGAAGGTAGTGAAAGGCGGAAAAATATATATATCGTCAAATAGAAAAGGCGGAAAAATATATATATATATATATATATATATATATATATATTTTTAATTTTATTTTAAAAACTACACTATGTTCTTCTCTCAAATTCTTTTTCCCCTTTCACTACCTTCCCATCACTACTCCTAAGACTACATAGAGGGAACCCCTGCAAGCATAGGGCCTCACAAATGAGGTAATTCATGTTGCCCCCTGCCCCAACAGCGGTAGTCAGAGACGGGGTGGGGCCTCGCAATCAGAGACGGGGTGGGGCCTCGCAACAATGGTCAGGCTAACGCAAAGACCGAGCATTTTGCCAGTAGCTGCACCTCCCTTTCTCATAGTACCCCACCCCTCATCGAGTAGCAACAGAGGCTATGGCCAACACTCTCCCACACACCACACACAACCCACTCGCGCTCACACTCACACGGTCACACCCGTGTTGGTCTTAGACTCCGCTAATACCGATCAGGGGTATCCACAGTCCGTTGGCACTAAGTGCGCCGCAGGCGGCCACGGGGCTTGAACCCGCAACCTACTGAATGCCACTTGCATGCCTAACCAACTCAGCTAGGCCGCTGGATCGAAAAAAGAATTTGAGAGAAGAACATAGTGTAGTTCATAAAAAGAAAAAAAAAGAAAAACAACGCGGCGTTGTCCCGCGGGTAGCGGTACTTGACTCCGGCCTCCCGAGCTCATCAGAATATTTTCTACTCGGCGCTTCCAAATTTCGGAGGGAGTGCGGCTCCCGCCGTCCGCCATTCGCGCCCGCCCATGTGGGCTCGGACAGATTTCAGCGCGCCGTCTCCGTAACGAAAGGGACGTGAGAATCGGCCAGCAATCTCCGACTACTCCTGAGAGAGGCACATGGAGACTGATGGAGTGCGTCGTCCGTTGCCTACCTACAGTAGTGCACAACTTCGTGCTGCCTAGGATTGAGAGCGATGGCGTGGCGGTGAGTGGTAGCTCCGCTGTTATCAACACGTGTTTTTTTGTCATGATTTTTGGCGGCGTTGTGCGGTGATTAGGCGGGAGAGTGAGGCCAAATCCATGCGATGGAAAGCCTGGAATATAAAGTCACAAGTACAACAGCCTGTTCACGTAATTCCTTTAGCGCAGGCTCGTCGTCGGTCTCTACTCCAGCTTTGGTGTGTTTAGTCTCTGCAGTGGGATGAGGCCATGCGGCCGAGTTGCCGGTTGGCCGATGAGGCCGAACGGTACCCTGTCCAGTGCTATGGAGATGGTGAGAGTCAAGGAGGTGCGTCGACGCGTCGAGATAAAATGATTATCCTGAACAGAACGCCGTGACCATACAAACGTGATGTGCACGGCCGCGTGCGATGCTTGAGCATTGTTCGGAGACCCCCGTCGCCATCTCCAGTCCGTTGTCGAAGGGTGGGAGAAAGACCTCAGCGGATCTAATCCAGAGGAAGGCCCTGCGTAGTGGTTATGACCTATACGTTTTCGCTACAGCTCCGTCGGCCATCGGCCAGACTTACGATCAGGTGATACCGTGCCAATCACCAATCACAGGGTTTGCCACGTGTCTCCCCTCGTCGCACAAAGGCACACACACACACACACACACACACACAGAGAGAGAGAGAGAGAGAGAGAGAGAGAGAGAGAGAGAGAGAGAGAATGGAGTTGTATATTCAATAAGATTATGTGCATTGAGAAATAGAGAGTCGGTGAAACGGACGAAACAGTTTGTGACAGCCCCGTGTTTCTTGTCCACTTCTCCCTTCTGCGTACGGGTCACCAGGCAGTTGTGACTCTGTCACAACATACAGAAATAAAGAGATTATATATGTCTTATGTAAACAGTATATATATATGCATGTAGAGTATATATGTATATATATATCCAGTGTGATATATATAAATATATGTAGCGTAGACCAAGGCACGAAGGTGAGCGTGGATCTCGCTGGTAATGGACTATATGCGCAACTGCAACACCGACAACGAGTCTGCCGCACTTTGTGGACACGATCGACCAGAGCTAAACAGGTGGCGGGCGTGTGGAGTAGGATGGGATACAGGGAAGCTAATATTTCCGGGAATGGATAGGTTGAGTTTCCGAAAGAGAATAAGTGGTCCGCAGCAGCAGGCAGCAAGCCACGACGAAGAGAAAGGAGCATCCGTCGATTCCGACTCGGCGGGCGACAATCGAGTGTTGGAAGACAGCAGCGAAAAGGGTGTGAAGAGCATCAGCATGGTGGCCCGGCAGAACAGTAGTGCCAACAATGGCCTGCCTTTAACATCAGGTATGTCTCCGGCCACGACTCCCCCGTCTGCCACAGTGTCATCATTACCCTCTTGTTCTGACAGCGTACCTTGTGTATCCCTGTCCCGATCCCGAGTGCATTCCTCGCCGGCATCGCAAGACGAGGAGAGTAGTCCCTTATGCCACCAGGGGGAGGACAGCTGTCCGCTCTCCCCCTCCCGCTCCCCCGTTCGCGAGGCCGGGGGCAAATCGCCCCGCCCGCGCCACGCGCGCAGTTACTCCGGCGGTATAGCGTGCTGCCGCGGAGAGTCTGTCGGCGGCGACGAGGAGGAGGGAGGAGTAAGAGCCGCGGACGGAAGCTCGGAGGGAAACTCTGATTTCCGTTGTCGTCAACGCGATTGCCCGATTGCGGAGGGGGAGGTCTGGGAAGCGGTCTTACCCGTCGATTACGAGGAGATCTGCCGCGCCGTGTATCCTGAGCCATTGTCATGTGAGGATAAAAGGAAGGTATATAGCCTACTCGCAGACGGGGTTCTCCTGCATGGGGGGTTTTATAGCTACCGCTTAATGAAGAGACAGGGCTCGGCGAGAGCCTCCGCGTCTGTGGCTATGTCTTCCTCCTCGATGTCAATCGTGTGGGGACATGACATTCGTCATTGGGAGGAGGTGAGGTGTCCGGCGTCGATGTTTGGAAGAGTCATGGTACTTCACCGAGTGCATTGGTTCGACGTATCTGGTCGCATTTCTTGGCATTTTCCTCCGGGTGTGTATACGTGTGCCTGGAGGCTGTCAAGAATGGTGGCGCCGAAGTTTATAGAGAACGTGGCTACGTTCTGGGGATCGCAGCCTGCAGAGAGCTTTGTCAGAACGTCAGACGGACAGACCGTTAGGTTATGGTTGCCATTATCACATGAGACGGTGGTAGCGCAGCCAGAGTGGATGGAATGGCAAGCAGGGGAGATCGTAGTCCCCGAGGTCGAGGGATCGAAACTGACGAAGATGGAAATCGATTTCGCGCTGAGGGAAACCAACTTCGACTCCGTGAAGATGGGTCTCTGCGTCGACTGCTTCATGGTGTATGAGTCAGATCCAGAGAATCTCAGCATGGACGGACGGTATCGCCCGTCGGGGAGGAGGGTACGTGACGGCGCATGTGCTGTTTTTCCGGAAGAAGAACGACCTGACCCTGGAAAGGTGATGTGGAAACTGGCTGGCGAAAGGTTCTTCGCTGCCCTACGATACGTCGCCGATCCTCTCAACTCCACCGGTCTCGCGGAGTCCTGATTATCGGCAGCCGATGCGATCGACCAGTCGAGCGTGTGCGTGCGTGCGTGCGTGCGTGCGTGTGTGCGTGCACACGCACACACAGACACGAAGAGAGAGAGAGAGAGAGAGAGAGAGAGAGAGAGAGAGAGAGAGAGAGAGAGAGAGAGAGAGAGAGAGAGAGAGAGGTAAAGAGGACGGAAGAGACAGTGGTGTTGTGGCAGAGGAGGAGAACTTGGAGCGTGGGGATAGTTGGCGGGTTGCCGCTGTCCAGG